AAACCCCCCCCCCCCCCCCCCCCCCCCATGTACCCCAAGAATAACCCAAAAAATATACAGTTCTTGACAATGTTGGACAGTGTTAAATAAGAAAAATAAGTTAGAAACTTGTCAATCTGGTTTTTGAACATGCTGCCAAGATTTTTAGTTGGAATAGGCAGAAGGGACTGAAAAAGGAATGATTGAGAATTATTGTTAAAATAAGTGGGAAATGCTTGGGAATCTCGAAATGAGTCAATTTTTTGAGTCAAGTCGATTCAGATTATTCCCATTTGTAAATTCACAATATTCTACTCCATCAACTCAAATCAATTTTACATTTTGATTTTTGAATCTTCAAATTTATTTACGTTCCCATAATTGATTATAGAAGTAATCTCGTGATCTGCATTGTTATGTTTTAGACATTGGAGCTTCTAGCCGAAGTAGCTGTATTGGAAGAAGAGGTAGTTCGGCTCGAAGAACAGGTTGTAAATTTTAGACAAGGACTATATCAGGAAGCCGTTCACATATCCTCCAAAAGAGGCATGGAGGATTCATCGTTTTCATACACTGAGTCATCAATTGGAAGTTCTAGAAGAAGCCACTCGAGATCCTTGTCCCAAAGTGATGTCAATATGAGCTCATTTTCTGAACATTCTTCAGCTTCTCTCGCAAAAAGCGCATCTACAAGAAAACAATTACCTTTTGAAACCGTGTCAGCAGTCACGAGGGATTCCTTTAACAGGGCATCAAATGAAAAACCAGCATCTTGTAAACCAAATTTGTCCCCGGAATATGGATCAAGAAATGAGGACCGATCGTGTCCCAATTATTCCAAGGATAAACTATCTTCGGAAAAGAAAAGCCCTGTAAAAAATATCCTGGAAAAGAGACCTGCACAGAAGCCTGAACCAGTAAGCAAAATTGCAAGTCCAAGTAAACTACAGGTACTTTCTCATTCACAATGTGTGTTTTGTGTACCAAACATGCTATAAAGTCTTGACCTATGGATTGACATTTGATTCTTTATGTGATTGTACTTTTTCAGTGTAGAATTGTGGAGCAAGCACTAGAGAGTTCGTCTAGTTCATCTGATGACAGAGTGACAGAGACAGAGAGCCCGGCTAACAAAATCTCAGAGGACATACTAAAGTGCTTGTCCAGCATTTTTCTAAGATTGAACAAACTGAAAGGGAAAACATTGAATTCAGAGTCTTTTTCTTCACTAGTATTGAGAGCATTTAGTGAGAATAACGTCGAATCAGATTTTCGAGATCCTTATTGTGCATCTTCTGAATTTAAGAAGAGGGACATCGGCCCTTACAAACATCTTTGCATGATTGAAGCTGGCTCAGTTGATCTCAACCGCAAAACAAATGCATCATTTTTGATCCATAGATTAAAGTAAGGCCTGAGATAGTTATATTTATGGTTTTGAGAAGATGAAATCGTATAGTACTAACTTTGTCCAACGAAAATTTCAGGCTCCTCCTTGGAAAGCTAGCGTCCGTCAAGTTAGAGGGTTTAACGCATCAACAGAAGCTCGCCTTCTGGATGAACACCTATAATTCCTGCATAATGAATGTAAGAAGTCTATCATTCACTCAAACTAAAGATCATTTTTCTAGGACTTCGAACATTATGAAGTTGCTTAACGAAACTTATTTAAGGATAGTAAATGTACCTGTGCTATTAATGTTCTGCAGGCATTTTTGGAGCATGGATTTCCTGACAATCCTGAAGTGGTTGTAGCACTAATGCAAAAGGCAAGATTTCACTAATCACTCCAATACATATTTTCTCGTATTTGCTAGATGCTAATGGTTTGCTGATCATCTATAGTGTTTTCTGTTTATTCCTAATGGAAAATTCTGGTTATAGAGTACATTAAAACATGTATTTAATATACACTATCGAAATATGTTCCTGCCTAGTTCCTGACGAAAACACACTTGACGATGAATAACCAGCAATGCGCAATCTGATGTTAAGTTCGCAATCCTACATGAATGTTCGAATTTGACAGCAACCTGTAAATTTTCTGAAATACTTTAGCCTTATTTAAGATACTATGGAAATTCAATACTCTCAAATCACCTGGTACTGAATTAAATTTTACCACTGCACAAAATTTCCTGAAATTCGACTGTGCTTACGGCAGGCAACAATAACTGTTGGAGGACATTTGCTAAATGCAATCATGATTGAGCACTTCATCTTGAGATTACCATTTCATTTAAAATATGTAAGTTTTTTCACTGTTACTCCTTAATTAAAGCTCTATATATTTGCAAAATATTTTGCATAATTTCAAGAATATATGTAAACTAATAATCCCTTTTATAGACATGCCAAAATTCCTCGAAAAATGACGAAATGAAGGTTCATAGCACATTCGGTTTAGAGTTGTCCGAACCATTGGTTACATTTGCACTCTCTTGTGGAAGTTGGTCCTCCCCTGCTGTAAGTCCTCTATGCTGCTTGTTGAGTTAACATAGATTGATCCTTCAATTATTTCCATGAAATAATAATGATTTCAATAGAATTCCCAAGTAGTCCTTCAAATAAAATACGGGTCACACCTTAATTCTAACAATATATTAATATTCTTGTATTAAGGTGAGGGTGTACACTGCATCTCATATTGAAACCGAGTTGGAAAGTGCGAAAAGAGACTATTTACAAGCAGCAGTTGGGATTTCATCAGAAAACAAGTTAATAATTCCAAAATTACTAGACTGGTATCGACTTGACTTTGCAAAAGACCTGGATGCATTGCTTGACTGGGTTTGCCTTCAGCTACCGGATGAATTCAGGAATCAGGCGGTAAAATGTCTTGAGAGAAGAGGAAAACAGCCCCTTTCTACATTAGTACAGGTTATGCCGTATAATTTCAGTTTCAGGTACCTTTTACACCGATAAGTTTTTTTGTTGTGGCAGGATTATATACTTATAGATAATACATTTTTTGTTAGTAATGGTAATAAATGAAAGTTGGGAATGCTGATTCTTGATCCTTGCTAAGTACATCAAGATGGTGATATCATTTGACAGGCTGATATGTTTATTATGAATCTTGTCTGTTCACTTGATTTACTCTCGAGTTAGAATTTTTCGATATGACGTGATCATTCATGTGATGGGATTTGAGTAGAACCGATCCACAACCAGTCACTTAGGATCTAGTTGTGGTCGCTAAGGATCTAGTTCTAAATTGTAAAGTAGCTCTAGCAATGAACTTATATAGTAATGACAAGAGATCACTGGGAACGAGGCTTAGTTTGTTATTCATTTTTATTTTTTTTTTCATTGGGAATTGAAGTACTGGATGATGAAGACCACTGCTCGATTTTGGCTTGGATGTTTGAGAAGCAAAGTAAATATCTTCAGCATATTGTTTAAGCTGTTCAAACTTTTAAAACAATGTGAGAATTCGATATGAGTTTAAATTTTTAAACGAGGTGATGTTCAATACGAATTTCAAAGTTCTCTCTTTGAGAAAAAAATATACTGTAACTAAGTTTCAATCGAATGGATCTTCAATACTTACATTACAAACCGAAAATATAATTATTGAGATCTTATTGCTCTTTTATTTACCTGCTATTGCAAATATTGACTGCTCAAAATTTTTGGTTTTAATTTCAAATTCCTAAATAAAATAAGAAATTCTACCTTTTATTGAGCAATAATTTTTTTTTTAAGGTCAGAAATTCCCAACTACTATGTGATGTAGCGAAAGCGGCTCGAAAGTTCGTTGATTCTTTTAAGAATACCAAAAATTGACGAGAGAGAAAAATCTCACATTTTATCTACTATCAATCAAGAACACAACGAGCCAGTTCTCACTATTTATGAAGACAGGAACCCTGGCCCACTCCAAGATTTAATTGTCTCACGATAATTGAAGTGCAAAAAGCACTAAGTACCTGTAATTTTATTTATTTATTTATTTATTTTTGCTAGAAATCTGATTTTCATGAAAGAAGATGAAATGAGTAGTTGAAAAGTTGATTAATATTGTGGATACCATAAAAGTGGAAATTACACAATTCTAAAATCAGATGGAATGATTAAATGTCCAAAAATCAGATGTTCTATTGATAATTCTAATATTATAAAATATTCATCCCCATAAACCAAACCCTAACATTCTCTCTCTCTTCCAACTATCCCATCTTCTATCTTGCTACGAGAAGGGAATTGGCACCGCGTTTGCAAGATCAGCACAGCTAAGCATTTGTCACTCACGTGCAATGGCGTTGATTATGAGATCGGTGTAGCTGAGAGTTAATTGCTTATTGCTATCCTTCTCGCGCGTTTGAATCAGATCGCTCGTTAGAGGCCTTCCAGCCGCTGACTTTTTTCTCTCTTCTTTTGATTTTGTGGTAGCGGGAGTTTTTTATTAGATTTGCGGTGTATTGAGGTGGCGATGGCGTTGATTGTTGTCGTTAGTAGTTGTTGTATATATATAATAAAATATTCATCCCCATAAGCCAAGCCCTAGCATTCTTTCTCTCTCTTCCAACTATCCTATATTCTCTCTTGATGCGAGAAGGGAATCAGTGCCGCGATTGCAAGATCAGCACAGTTGAGCATTCGTCGCTCACTTGTAGCGGCATTGACTACGAGATCGGCGTAGCTGAGCGTTTATTGCTCATTGCTGTCCTTCTCGCGCGTTCGATTAGTTAGAGGCCTTCCAGCCGTCAACTTTTTCTCTCTTCTTTTGATTTTGTGGTAGCGGGAGTTTTTTATTAGATTTGCAGTGTATTGAGGTGGCGGTGGCTTGATTGTTGTTGCTAGTAGTTGTTGTGGTGTTTTGAGGTATAAGTGCAGTGATAGTAGCTTGTATGGGTGTTCTTTTTTTCCTTTTCTTTTCTTTTCTTTCTTTTTTTTTTTTT